CAACAAATAGAAGGAAGAAAAAGAGAGGGAAAAGGCAACAAATAGAAGGAAGAAAGTGAGGGAAAAGGGCAAACAAATAGAAGAAAGAGAGAGAGGGAAAAGGGCAAGAAATAAAAGAAAGAGGGGAAAAGGCAACAAATAGAAGGAAGAGAGAGAGGAAAAGGCAACAAATAGAAGGAAGAGAGAGAGGAAAAGGGCAAACAAATAGAAGGAAGAAAGAGAGGGAAAAGGGCAACAAATAGAAGGAAGAGAGAAAGGAAAAGGGCAACAAATAGAAGGAAGAAAGAGAGGGAAAAGGGCAACAAATAGAAGTAAGAGAGAGAGGGAAAAAGGCAACAAATAGAAGGAAGAAAGAGAGGGAAAAGAGCAACAAATAGAAGAAAGAGAGAGGGAAAAGGGCAAACAAAAAAAAAAAAGAGGGGGAAAAAGGCAACAAATAGAAGGAAGAAAGAGAGGGAAAAGGCAACAAATAGAAGGAAGAAAGAGAGGGAAAAAAGGCAACAAATAGAAGGAAGAAAGAGAGGGAAAAAGGGCAACAAAAAGAAGAAAGAGAGAGAGGAAAAGGCAACAAATAAAAGAAAGAGGGGAAAAGGCAACAAATAGAAGGAAGAAAGAGAGGGAAAAAGGGCAACAAATAGAAGGAAGAAAGAGAGGGAAAAGGGCAACAAATAGAAGGAAGAAAGAGAGGGAAAAGGGCAACAAATAGAAGGAAGAAAGAGAGGGAAAAAGGGCAACAAATAGAAGGAAGAAAGAGAGGGAAAAAGGGCAACAAATAAAAGGAAGAGAGGGAAAAGGGCAACAAATAGAAGGAAGAAAGAGAGGGAAAAGGGCAACAAATAGAAGGAAGAGAGAGAGGGAAAAGGGCAACAAATAGAAGGAAGAAAGAGAGGGAAAAGGGCAACAAATAGAAGGAAGAGAGAGAGGGAGGAGGGCAACAAATGAAGGAATAAAGAGAGGGAAAAGGGCAACAAATAGAAGAAAGAGAGAGAGGGAAAAGGGCAACAAATAAAAGAAAGAGAGGGAAAAGGGCAACAAATAGAAGGAACAAAGAGAGGGAAAAGGGCAACAAATAGAAGGAAGAGAGAGAGGAAAAGGGCAACAAATAGAAGAAGAGAGAGGGAAAAGGGCAACAAATAGAAGGAAGAAAGAGAGGAAAAGGGCAACAAATAGAAGGAAAGAGAGAGAGGAAAAGGGCAAACAAATAGAAGGAAGAGAGAGAGGGAAATGGGAAAAAACAAATAGAAGGAAGAAAGAGAGGGAAAAGGGCAACAAATAGAAGGAAAGAGAGAGGGAAAAGGGCAACAAATAGAAGGAAGAGAGAGAGGAAAAGGGCAACAAATAGAAGGAAGAAAGAGAGGAAAAGGGCAACAAATAGAAGGAAGAGAGAGAGGAAAAAGGCAAATAAATAGAAGGAAGAAAGAGAGGGAAAAGGGCAACAAATAGAAGGAATAAAAGAGAGGAGGAGGGCAACAAATGAAGGAATAAAGAGAGGGAAAAGGGCAACAAATAGAAGAAAGAAAAAGGGAAAAGGGCAACAAATAAAAGAAAGAAAGGGAACAGGGCAACAAATAGAAGGGAGAGAGAGAGTGAAAAGGGCAACAAATAAAAGAAAGAGAGGGAAAAGGGCAACAAATAGAAGAGAGAGAGGGAAAATGGCAACAAATTTAGGAAGAAAGAGAGGGAAAAGGGCAAAAAATAGAAGGAAGAAAGTGGGGAAAAGGGCAACAAATAGAAGAAGAGAGGGAAAAGGGCAACAAATTTAAGAAAGAAAGAGAGGGAAAAGGGCAAAAAATAGAAGGAAGAAAGAGGGGGAAAAGGCAAAAAAATAGAAGGAAGAAAGAGAGGGAAAAAAGGCAACAAATCGAAGGAAGAAAGAGAGGGAAAAAGGGCAACAAATAGAAGGAAGAAAGAGAGGAAAAGGCAACAAATAGAAGGAAGAAAGAGAGGGAAAAGGCAAAACAAATAGAAGGAAGAAAGAGAGGGAAAGGGCAACAAATAGAAGGAAAAGAGAGGGAGGAGGGCAACAAATGAAGGAATAAAGAGAGGAAAAGGGCAACAAACAGAAGAAAGAGAGAGAGGGAAAAGGGCAACAAATAAAGGAAAGAGAGGGAAAAGGGCAACAAATAGAAGGAACAAAGAGAGGGAAAAGGGCAACAAATAGAAGGAAGAGAGAGGGAAAAGGGCAACAAATAGAAGGAAGAAAGAGAGGGAAAAAGGGCAACAAATAGAAGGAAGAGAGAGAGGGAAAAGGGCAACAAATACAAGGAAGAGAGAGAGGGAAAAGGGCAACAAATAGAAGGAAGTGAGAGAGGGAAAAGGGCAACAAATAGAAGGAAGAAGAGAGAGGGAAAAGGGCAACAAAGAAGGAAGAGAGAGAGGGAAAAGGCAACAAATTGAAGGAAGAAAGAGGGAAAAAGGCAACAAATAGAAGGGGAAGAGAGAGAGGGAAAAGGGCAACAAATAGAAGGAAGAGAGAGAGGGAAAAGGGCAACAAATAGAAGGAAGAAAGAGAGGGAAAAGGGCAACAAATAGAAGGAAGAAAGTGAGGGAAAAGGGCAACAAATAGAAGAAAGAGAGAGAGGGAAAAGGGCAAGAAATAAAAGAAAGAGGGGGAAAAGGCAACAATTAGAAGGAAGAAAGAGAGGGAAAATGGCAACAAATAGAAGGAAGAAAGAGAGGGAAAAAGGGCAACAAATAGAAGGAAGAAAGAGAGGGAAAAGGCAACAAATAGAAGGGAAGAAAGAGAGGGAAAAAGGGCAACAAATAGAAGGAAGAAAGAGAGGAAAAGGGCAACAAATAGAAGGAAGAGAGAGAGGGAAAAGGGCAACAAATAGAAGGAAGAGAGAGAGGGAAAAAGGCAACAAATAGAAGGAAAAAGAGAGGGAGGAGGGCAACAAATGAAGGAATAAAGAGAGGGAAAAGGGCAACAAATAGAAGAAAGAGAGAGAGGGAAAAGGGCAACAAATAAAAGAAAGAGAGGTAAAAGGGCAACAAATAGAAGGAACAAAAGAGAGGGAAAAGGCAACAAATAGAAGGAAAGAGAGAGAGGAAAAGGGCAACAAATAGAAGGAAGAGAGAGAGGAAAAGGCAAACAAACAGAAGGAAGAAAGAGAGGGAAAAAGGCAACAAATAGAAGGAAGAGAGAGAGGAAAAGGCAACAAATAGAAGGAAGAGAGAGAGGGAAAAGGCAACAAATAGAAGGAAGAAAGAGAGGGAAAAGGGCAACAAATAGAAGGAAGAGAGAGAGGAAAAAGTGCAACAAATAGAAGGAAGAGAGAGAGGGAAAAGGCAAACAAATAGAAGGAAGAGAGAGAGGGAAAAGGGCAACAAATAGAAGGAAGAAAGAGAGGGAAAAGGGCAACAAATAGAAGGAAGAGAGAGAGGGAAAAGGGCAACAAATAGAAGGAAGAAAGAGAGGGAAAAGGGCAACAAATAGAAGGAAGAGAGAGAGGGAAAAAGGCAACAAATAGAAGGAAGAAAGAGAGGGAAAAGGGCAACAAATAGAAGAAAGAGAGAGAGGGAAAAGGGCAACAAATAAAAAAAAGAGGGGGAAAAGGCAACAAATAGAAGGAAGAAAGAGAGGGAAAAAGGGCAACAAATAGAAGGAAGAAAGAGAGGGAAAAAGGGCAACAAATAGAAGGAAGAAAGAGAGGGAAAAGGGCAACAAATAGAAGAAAGAGAGAGAGGGAAAAGGGCAACAAATAAAAGAAAGAGGTGGAAAAGGCAACAAATAGAAGGAAGAAAGAGAGGGAAAAAGGGCAACAAATAGAAGGAAGAAAGAGAGGGAAAAGGGCAACAAATAGAAGGAAGAAAGAGAGGGAAAAGGCAACAAATAGAAGGAAGAAAAAGGGAAAAGGGCAACAAAGAAGGAAGAAAGAGAGGGAAAAAGGCAACAAATAAAAGGGAAGAGAGGGAAAAGGGCAACAAATAGAAGGAAGAAAGAGAGGGAAAAGGGGCAACAAATAGAAGGAAGAGAGAGAGGAAAAGGGCAAACAAATAGAAGGAAGAAAGAGAGGGAAAAGGGCAACAAATAGAAGGAAGAGAGAGAGGGGAGGAGGGTAAAAAATGAAGGAATAAAGAGAGGGAAAAGGGCAACAAATAGAAGAAAGAGAGAGAGGGAAAGTAAAAACAAACAAAAAGAAAGAGAGGGAAAAGGGCAAACAAATAGAAGGAACAAAGAGAGGGAAAAGGGCAACAAATAGAAGGAAGAGAGAGAGGGAAAGGGCAACAAATAGAAGGAAGAGAGAGAGGGAAAAGGCAAACAAATAGAAGGAAGAAAGAGAGGGAAAAGGGCAACAAATAGAAGGAAGAAAGAGAGGGAAAAGGGCAACAAATAGAAGGAAGAGAGAGAGGGAAAAGGGCAACAAATAGAAGGAAGAGAGAGAGAGGGAAATGGGCAACAAATAGAAGGAAGAAAGAGAGGGAAAAGGGCAACAAATAGAAGGAAGAGAGAGAGGGAAAAGGGCAACAAATAGAAGGAAGAGAGAGAGGGAAAAGGGCAACAAATAGAAGGAAGAAAGAGAGGGAAAAGGGCAACAAATAGAAGGAAGAGAGAGAGGGAAAAGGGCAACAAATAGAAGGAAGAAAGAGAGGGAAAAGGGCAACAAATAGAAGGAATAAAGAGAGGGAGGAGGGCAACAAATGAAGGAATAAAGATTGGGAAAAGTGCAACAAATAGAAGAAAGAAAAAGAGGGAAAAGGGCAACAAATAAAAGAAAGTGAGGGAACAGGGCAACAAATAGAAGGGAGAGAGAGAGTGAAAAGGGCAACAAATAAAAGAAAGAGAGGGAAAAGGGCAACAAATAGAAGAGAGAGAGGGAAAATGGCAACAAATTTAGGAAGAAAGAGAGGGAAAAGGGCAAAAAATAGAAGGAAGAAAGAGGGGAAATGGGCAACAAATAGAAGGAAGAGAGAGAGGGAAAAGGGCAACAAATAGAAGGAAGAAATAGAGCGAAAAGGGCAACAAATAGAAAGAGCAAAGAGAGGGAAAAGGGCAACAATTAGAATGAATATAGAGAGGGAAAAGGGCAACAATATAGAAGGAAGAAAGAAAGGGAAAAGGGCAAGAAATAGAAGTCAGAGAGAGGGAAAAGAGCAACAAATAGAAGGAAGAGAGAGAGGGAAAAGAGCAACAAATAGAAGGAAGAAAGAGAGGGTGAAGTTAAACGATTGAATGGAAACTGAATGAAAAATAGAACAAAGGAAAAAGTTATTAAAATAAATTCGGTAAACCTATGCTAATATATATAGAATAAGAATAAAAATGAATAAGTGTAATAATCCTGAAAGCAGGCATATGAACGAAACATGGAAGAAAAAAAGCCTGAAGGAAAGAACCAAAGAAAGAATGAAAAAAAGCTATAACATCTATAGAAACAATAAAAAGAATACAGAAAATGAAAGACAGAATACACGAAATTGATTGCATAAGAATATAAAATAAAACTGGAAAGAAAATATGAGCCAGGCGTATTTTATATTAGATTATATTTCATATACAGAGCACCCTCAGTTTTCGACATAATTTGTTCTGAAACTCTGTTCTAAAACCGAATTGTACGAGAACCGAATCAAAGAGCAAATGAAGAGAAAAAAGGGCACAGTACAATAAAATTGGCGGGAAAAAGTACAGCATAACACACGTATGTATACAACACGGCGGTCAACTCAGAAATGATTTCGTTCGGGTTAATTCGGTTCGCCAATGTTATTCAAGAACCAACATTTTGTTCGATAACCGAGGCATTTTCATTCCGAATTTCCTGTTTGATTTGTTCAACATGTAAAACGTTCGAGAACCGAGGTTGATCTGTATGTTATATTTCCTATATATTATACGTTATATTATATTTCATATATATATAATATGCTATATTAAATTTCATATATACTATATTTCATATATATTATATTTCACACATATTGCATTTCATATATGTTTCATATTAAATCCTGGAAGGAAAATATAAGGCAAGCTCTAACGAAAGTTAAGTAAGTTGAAAACTAAGTGAAAGACAGAAACAAGTGAAAGAAGGACATACAATATACATTTATACAGTTAGAAAGTAGATATAGAAAAAAAGAATGAAAAGAAAGAAGGGAATACTGAGAGAAAGCATTAAATGGATGAAATAAATATTGAAAGGAAAGGATAAAGGAAAATATCGAAAAGAAACAAAAATATTGAAAAGAAAGAAAAATACTGAAAATAAATGAATAAATAATGATCAGAAAAAATGATAAAAACAAAGAAAAATGCGAAAAGGAATTAAAAATTAAATACCAAAAAACAAATAGGGAAATGAAAGAAAGAAATACTGAAATTCTTAAAAAAATACGTAAAAGAAAAAAAACGAAATATTGAAAATAAAGATAGAAATAATGAAAAGAAAGAAAACTTATTGTAAAGAAATACGGAAATATTTAAGAGAAAGAAATACTGAAATTTATTAAATACAGAAAAAAAGAAAGAAATATTGAAAAGAAAGAAAACATATTGTAAAGAAATACGGAAATATTTAAGAGAAAGAAATACTGAAATTTATTAAATACAGAAAAAAAGAAAGAAATATTGAAAAGAAAGAAAAACATATTGTAAAGAAATACGGAAATATTTAAGAGAAAGAAATACTGAAATTTATTAAATACAGAAAAAAAAAAAGAAAGAAATATTGAAAAGAAAGAAAACATATTGTAAAGAAATACGGAAATATTTAAGAGAAAGAAATACTGAAATTTATTAAATACAGAAAAAAAGAAAGAAATATTGAAAAGAAAGAAAACATATTGTAAAGAAATACGGAAATATTTAAGAGAAAGAAATACTGAAATTTATTAAATACAGAAAAAAAGAAAGAAATATTGAAAAGAAAGAAAACATATTGTAAAGAAATACGGAAATATTTAAGAGAAAGAAATACTGAAATTTATTAAATACAGAAAAAAAGAAAGAAATATTGAAAAGAAAGAAAACATATTGTAAAGAAATACGGAAATATTTAAGAGAAAGACATACTGAAATTTATTAAATACAGAAAAGAAAGAAAGAAATATTGAAAAGAAAGACAGAAATACTTAAAAGAAACAAATACTAAAAGGAAAATATAAATGCTTAAAAGAAAGAAATACTGAAACGGCATAAAATAAATACTGTAAAGAAAAAATACTAAAATGAAATAGTGCCATGAAAGAAACACTGAAAAGAATGATTAACCAAAAGGAAGAAAGACGATGACTTAAAAGAAAGAATGAAAAAATGAAAAGAAATAATAAAAAAAAGAAATCCTGAACAAAAATAAACGGGTGAAGGGAGAAAAATACGATAAAGATATCAAAATAGAAAGACAGAACAAAAAGAGGAAAAAAAAAGACGTCTCAGTGAAAGAGGAAGAGATAGAAGAAAAAAAACCCTAAAGATAAAAAAGAAACTCAATATAGAAAGAAAGAAAGAAAATAAGAAGATATATGAATCCATAGAGACAAAAATAGGATAAAAAAAAGAAAAGTAAACAGGAGGAGAAAGACAAAAAAAAAAGACCTGTATGATAAAATAAGAGCAAAATACAAATAAGAAAAGAAAGAGAAAAAAAAAGGTCAATAGTTTAAGATAATTAAAGAATGAGACTTTAAGAACTTGCAAAGGAATAAATGATGAATAATTCAAAATGTTAGGACCTCTCCCAAGAAATACAAAAATTGAATAAAGAAATCTAATAAAATATGAAAAGAAGAAATTTTACGAAAGTCGGGAATTAAATGACGAGAAAGAAAGACCAGAAACCAGATAACCAATAAAAGATGACAAAAACAAAGAAAAGCGACAACGAAGCAAATTTTATTCCCATGTTCCTTCAAGGTCGACTTGATAGTTTCTACTGATTAATTTCCTTTCCTCATTAAATTACTGCACACATGGCGTGCGTGAAGCATTTAGTGTCGTCATGGAGTCTCTTTATATCAAGTCTCCATTCTATGCCTGGAACTGGAATTATTAGTTTTCACAAAGTTAGCTGTCTCAGCAATGCTATCAACAAGAACACCTTAAAAAGGTTACTGGTCTTTTTTCAATTTAAGTACCTCTTTTATGCATCATGTCGCTTAAGGTCGCTAGTGATCATGGATGTCCTTAACATTCTATTTCTTTGTGGCTTTATTTTTAATTCTTTCTTTATGGGCCGTGTCCCCTCAAAACGTAAGCGATCATGGCTCTCCGCAATTTCCTGTCCCTTGTAGCTCTTAATAAACTTTGTTTTTTTTTTTAATTTCATTTCAAAGCCATGTTCCGCCATCCATTTACTCAAGCTCGCTAAGTATGTTATGCGTTGTTTTACTCCTTGCTCTCTATCTGTTTCGTGAACATCAAATGTTCCCATCCCTTCTTCCTCATTATATACACCAGAAAACTCAAATACTCATTCTGATGCTAAGTATAAACATCCTTTTTTTGTTTACGTTTTCTCAAGAACTTCGTCGTTACATATTCTGTCCCTGGAATCCTCAGCATCCTTCTGTAGAACTACATCCTACACTACCTGTATTTTTTTCTGACAATCATTTATTTAAATCTGTTTTAGGCTATTCGTTTGGTCTCACTTGCCATCAATACATTCTGTGAGCGTCAAACTCTCCAAACCTTTCCTCGTAACGTGTCCCGGAAAATTACTATATCTCTTTCTGATTCTAAGTATAAGTGTCCTTTCTATTTCTATTTTCCCTAGATTACTCTCTTGCTCACATGCTCCGTCCATGTTATTCCCAGAATCATCTATATTGATTTAAGTCTTCTCTTCATCTGTGAGGAAATTTGCAAGCATTCGATGCCATAGCAGAAGATCGATATTACGTAACGTTTTATAACTCTTGTCTTTGTTTCTAACGAAAATTTCCTGTTCCTTAATATTTTGCTTAGCTTTTGGAAGGCATCTGTCTCTGTGCGCGTTCGGATTTTGACGTCACGTTTTCTGTCCTCTATGAAAACGATAATTTAAATGTCTTATGTTCGTACTAATTTGATTCTGATATCTTGTAGTTTGTCTCTCGGGATGTTCCTTCTGATGGCAACCAGATATTCTGTCTTCTTACAGTCAATACTTAGTCCTTTCTTCTCACTTATAATTATTTTTTTTGGAAGCATTACGCCCCGAGCAAGGCGTGAAGCCACTTAGGATGCAGGGGGTTGCAGAAGATTTGGAGCGAGAGCAGATATGAGTGATAGAAGAAAGGACGAGGAGAGGGATAGTGGATAGATCAAGGTAACTGGAGATGCCGATTGACATTACATTTGAATAGTTGGAGATTATAGCTCTCAGGGAAACAGTAATTGGGAAGGGTGTTCCACAGGCGAGAGGTGCGAGGTATGAAGCTATTGGAGTAGAAGAGACGGTTACATCTAAAAGTTTCTACAGTAAAATGGTGAGTGCGGGATGCCAGCCTCCTAAGACGCTTGAATTCATGGAGTCTGGGAACCAGTGAAAGTAGCTCATCGGAGCAATTGCTATGAAAGTATTTGTAGAAAAGACAGAGAGAGGTGACGGTATGTGTCTGAGAGAGTGATTGTAGACGAGATGCCAGATCAGGGCCAATTATATTACATATCCGTCTCTGGATCTTGTCAAGAACTCCGAGGTAAACAGATGGTGCCCCGGGCCATATATGGCAGCAATACTCCATGCAAGGGAGAATGGTGATTTGTATATTTGAAGTATAGATTCCGGGGAGAGAAATTTCCTGACGCGGCACAGAGAACCAACTTTTATAGAAATTAAATATGATTTTTTTTCTACGTGTTTGTTGTATCTACATTTGATCCTTTTTATTGAAATTGCATCCATTTTGTGCTCTTGGTGTATTTGATTTCTGTGATATTCTTGATGGAATTATTGTTTACACTATTTACATTCTTTGGTCTGTCTTCCTAATCTATATTGTCATATTACCGAAAAAAGCATTTGTTGAGTAATCCTAGAAGTGACTTGACCCAAAGATTTGTGAGTTCAATTACACACAGCACAGTGAACAAAACATTAAAGAGTTAAGTTACCAAGGGGAATTAACTGAAACTGAGATATCCAAAGGGATGGCACGGGGAATTAGAACAATCCATCCCGTGGACAAAATTCCAACTAATATCACAGGAAGAAGTCCGGAGCGTACAACTGCCAAAACGTCGTGAACATGACAGTAAGATGTAAATAGTGTAAATAGTTAGAATACCTCATCTCAGAAATAGAGAAAGTAATTATTGTTAAGCTTACCTTTAGAAGCCAGGGTTTTATTGTTGTGCGTCCTGAGTATGAAGATAAAGAAGACCCAGCGCCAAGGCCTCTGGAATCACCTCTTAATTGCTGTTGTTCTAGGGTCTACCATGACCCGAGGTGGCAGTACCTGTTAGGGTCCCAGCTATGGGTAAATAATTAACCTCCAGGCAAAAGCTAAACACTATGAAAGCATAAAAATTGATTTGTATAGTAAAAATTACAGCAATACATTTATATATATGTGGTTGAGTGATTTCACAGTGGAGGCTTGTATTTGTACTAAGTCGGTCCTAAAATAGGTTCGACGTACAAAACGTTAGGAACTTGATATAATAGGTATAACGCAGAGTAATCTAGTTGTGGTTGCTGATACTTTAGTATTCGACTAACTGTCGTCCGACATCGACTGACTGACCGACAGACTGACCGTCTGACTCGTTATTCTTACTACTCCTACTTATTATAGGTGGGAGAGTCTATTAACTATAGAATAGGTGTGTTCCCACTATAATATATATATATATATATATATATATATATATATATATATATAGTTCCCACTATAATATATATATATATATATATATATATATATATATATATATATATATTCTCGCTTTTGATTCTCGACAAAACTCTTTACAAAAATACGTCAATGAAACCTGATCTACAAAAATACGTCAATGAAACCTGATCTACAAACAGATTTCTTACAAAGAATACATATTCTTTTCATACGAACCTATTCCAAAAATCTTGTCGGCATTAGATTATCCATTGAGGTTGATATACCGTAAAACAAAATAAAACAAACTTTATTGTTGTTTAAATGAAGTCTGATTTGACTATGGACAATGTAACTAGGAAACCGTTGTCAATAATTACTTCTTCTCAAGAAAAAAAGAGATTGATTTATTTTTTTGTTAGTGACGGCAGGTTTATAGCTTTCTAGTTGAAGAACAGAAAACAGATGACTGTCTCGGCTAATGTAAATGATCTAGCGAAAGTAGCTTGTTCATCATTAGGAATTATTTTTATATTGAGATAATTACATGAAATCACACTCGATATTTGAGTGTATAAACGAAATATTCAGTGATATTCTTTACATATAAAACTGTTGAAACTTGACTAATGCATGGAATAATAATACAACACAAAATGTACTTAGAACAAAATGTATTGAAACAAGAAAGTGTACACAATATTTACATATAGTCTTTTGTATATTCCTGGTAAGACCGTTCCTGGAGAATGTGTTGACTGAGTCGCAGTCGGGCAGAGTCTCTGGTTGAATCTCTTGATTCCTCCCTCCCTTCCCGGTACCAACCATATTTATATGGTCGGTACTCCACTATGCAAATTAGGTGGATCCTACCACAACAAAAACAAATAATTGTATTGATATATTCTACTTCGTGGTTAGAACGTTCTTTTTCTAACCATGAGAACCGTGTCCGAATCTCACTATTGTCGATTTGTCATAAAGTTGACATCTTGATATTATCGGACTGGAGGAGGGACTAACCCAACGTACGGCTATTTTGGAAAGTGTCTGAAACCCGAACCTTGTCTGTGAAATTTGTTAGGGGGTACTCTTTTTGATCCTACACTGGTTGTGACCAAAAATTTGAGCGGGCTGGCTTTGTTCAAATAACTTGATAGACAACGCGGTCCCTCCCATAAAATGTAACTAAAGTCCACTCCGCATAGTTGCAATATAAAGTGCAGGTTGGCTTTGTGGGTGTTGAACAAACAGGAATGTGCCTGAGCAGGCGTCTGCAATATGGATTATCCAGCCTCACTGGAAGACGAGAATGGCTGATTTAGATATTTGGTGTAAGTTGTATATTTTGGCTTGTCGTCCGGTTACAAAATGCTGTCTGCCTTCTAAAAAAGGGTTCGACTGTATCCTTATGACTACAAGTCAACATTCACTTGATTTATAGTTTTAGAGTCTATAAGTAATCATTAATCAGGATGATGTTTTTGTCTATAGGTAAACATTTGATCTGGATTATTCTTTTGTTCAAATTGAACAAAGGCCGGCGTTATTGAATCTAAACGTAATCATTGATCGAACTAATGGTTGAATCTACAAGGAAACATTGATCGGGTTTATTTTTGTCAAAAATAAAATAAAGCCGAATTTATATTCTAATCTATATTTAATCATTGATCAAGTTGGAGATTGAGTCTATATGTAAATACTGATCAGGATTATTATTGTTGCAAAATTAAGCTTTTGCTGGAATTAAATGTAATCAATGATCACGTTCATAGTTGAGCGCATAGAGGTAAACATTGATCAAGTTTATTCTTCAAGAATATAAACAATGGCATGATTTATATTTGAATCTATAAATAATCATTGATCAGTACGATTGTTCCGACTATAGGTAAACACTGATAGGATTTATTCTAGTCTCAAAAGTAAAAAAAAATACTGGATTTATATTTGAAACTCTAAGTAATCATTGATCCGGTTGATGGTTGAGGCAATAGCTAAACATTGATCAGGTTAATTCTTATGTCAAAGTAAACAATGCGAAGATTTATAACTGAATTTAAAATTAATTCTTAATCAGGATGATAGCTGAGTCTATATGTAAACATTGATAGGGTTGATTTTTTGTGTTCAAAGTAAACATTTTTGAATGATATTTGAATCTGTATGTAAACATTGATCAGGTTGAGGGTTGAGTCTATAGGTAAATATTGACGGGGTTTATTCTTGTGCCAAAAATAAACAATACTCGGATTTATATTTTAATCTATAAGTAATCGTTAATCAGGTTTCTTGTGGAGTTAAAACGCAAACATTGATCACCTATATTATTGTATCAAAGCAAATGTTTGCAAGATTTGAATTTGAAACGAGAAGTAATTCTTGATCATTTTTTTTTTTTTGATTGGCGGGGAAATAATTTAATGTGATGTGAAGTTAGGATAAGTAGGATAGAAGGCGATTGAACTTTGACTTGAATAGGTTAACTGTTTTGGGACCTAACCCATAATAACATAATGGACTATTCCATACGTAATAAATACTGCGCCTCAAGAGGAAGCAAAGACAGTTCAGTCTGAAGTCGGACGACCGGCTGATCGGTTGAACACTGCCTACGGGTGGAGAGGGACTCGAACGAGGCTACGCTGAAAGGCGGAGTCTCTTTCGGGGGAGGAGGGGTTATACGGGTTCAAAGGGCATATTTTTGGCCGAGCACACGGGCTCGGAGATCCCACGTTAAACCGGCCTTGTGCCACATGATACCATCGTGGGAAGGGTGACTAAATACCGTCCAATCTGAAGTCTGGAGTGAAGACCGTCAGAAGTCTGTCAGTCAGTCAGAGCGAGCGAGTCAGTCGAGTCAGAAGCAGTCCGAAACAGAGTCGCGTTCAGACAATTTACTACTAAACCTGATTGTTCGTACTAACACTTCCTACTTCTCTGTATATATTCCTGTTTGTAATATATCTGTGTTATTCCATACCGGTGTTCGAGTTCTTCTTTATTGGTTCTACCTTGGACTATCACCGTGGTAAAAAGAACCGGACCATAACATTAACAATGTAGTTTTTATTGATTGATTGATACGTTATGTTTTTTTTTAACGGGGGATGGGAGGAGGGGGATTCTTACCTTTCCCAAGGGTATTTACGCGTAAGTGAATATAACAAACCTAACAAAAATTGGATTTCAACTCACTTCAGAGCCATTATTCATTACACAACCTGCATATCCAAACTTGCATATTCCCAAGCGCCCACCCTCATAGGCACTTACCAGGTTTAACGTTGCTTAACTTCGGTGAAAACCCCATGCAATATGAATCAAATAGGAGTAGGTAGGAAGTGACGGTTATTAGAATAAGGATTGACATTTGACTTAAAGTGCTTAAGAATGTAGTATTTATTTTTTTATTATTTTTTACGATTTATCAACCCTTTCCAGGTTATTTAGAGCCAGAATATACTTTAGATTGTAAGATTTATTTTAAATAATCATAGTTTGGTGATCCAAGTCTTGTCAATAGATGAGGGGCGGGTTGGCGAATTCATACCTGTCCCACCGGCATGACCAAGTAAGTGACTATAACAAACGCGACAGGAATTAGAACTCGACTCTTCGATTAACAATTCCGAGCCATTACTCACTACACCACCCGCACATCCAAACTTACAGCACGGGTATTCCGGAGAGGTCACTCATCTAGGTACACACCGGGGTCGACGTTGCTTAACATCGGTGTTCGTAGGGGATCCAGTGTTTCAACTTTAATAGATTTTAATATCTTTTAACTTGGCAATGTTTTTATTTAGCAGGTTAGCCATAGATTATTTTATTTATATTTTGGTAACCCTTTGCTAAATGGAGCGCCAACTCAACTTATAAAGAAAAAAAAAATCAGCATCCAAATGTTTTTCTGTATATATATATATATATATATATATATATATATATATATATATATATATATAATTGCGTGCGTGTGTGTATGTGTGTGTGTGTGTAAAAGTTATGTTAGTAGGTATAAATTCTACGTGTATCTAGAATTCACATGTACGGAAACACGTTCGTATATAAATGTGTACATTGCTACATCATTAGGATTGGTGCCATATGATGAAAAAATAATGAGCGTGTATTTCTTTTTAATATTATACATTGAATTTCGAGATTCAATTTTAACCAATAAGTGCGTAACATTTTTCACATATATTGAAACATGATCATACACTCAAACACGCAGACACCCACACTTCGACGCCCTTATATATATATATGTGCCAAATGTAATAGGCCTACTTTAACCACAAAGATTAGCTTGAAAAGCATTCTCTAATCATAAAAATCATACTGTATCCTGTAACTCACGTGACGTTTACAGGCAGAAAATTGAGGCCCATAAAGAAGAAAAAAATAATAAATATGAGAGAGAGAGAGAGAGAGAGAGAGAGAGAGAGAGAGAGAGAGAGGAAGAGAATGAGAATGAAGGAATGAGAATGAGAGCAAGAGAATAAGAATGAGAGAGAGAATAAGAATTAGAGAGGGAGAATGAGAGAGAGAGAGAGAGAGAGAGAGAGAGAGAGAATGAGAGGGGCACAAAGAATAATATTCTTCCCTGTTCATTTTCAACCGAAATCAAAAGTGACAAAGGCGAGCAAGCACAAATTCTGCGAACAGGAAGAGGAAAGGTTGCATGCTTTTCTGGAGAGGTGAAATGGGATTGCGAAGATGGCGGCATAGGCAGGACGATTGTTAATAATGCTGGTTTGTGAAAGCGATTTCTAATGGGTGAGGGTCAATATGTCTGCAATGAAAAGAAACTTTGGCTGGCAGTTTGAAAGAGAAATTCGTCGGAATGCGAATTGCAGACAGTTCTTTGGCTGTGTGGCGTAAAAACGCTTGGCCGACAATCAGACGCTGTAAGGGTAATTTGGGCATTTTTCGGCTTCCCAGGAATAGAAAGGCCGCGTAAATGAAAGGGAAAGTATTCTGGAAGAAGGATTTATTATGGCGCGAAGGAACGCAAGGTTTTATGTGATAAAATCAGGTAAAATGATGCTGGAAAAAATTACCACAAGAAAGCAGTTTGGATTTTCAAAGAACATTATATTCCAATTGAACAGTAGACGGTTTGCTTTGGGCTTAAAATAGTTACTAATTTTCTAAAGAAACCATAGTTCAGGGATTCAGTCTGTGTCGAAGCAAGTTTTACCGAATTCTGGTCAAGCTCGTCTATCTTGTAAATTCTGGTGACATATAAGCTCTCAGAATGTATTTCCACATTTTGGCTTTGTAAAATTAAGAAATAACAATAAAATATTTGGATGAGCGGAAATATTTGAATTAATATCTTGAAAATTCGTTGTCATATTGACCCTGTTTACATTTATTTTTACTACACAGTTTAGGCATAAGATCGAATTTTGTCATCTCGGCAGGGTCTAGAAAACATCGATTGCATACCCTACAAGGGAATAAAAAAATCCTAAAATGGCTAATATTCTTGGAGGATGCGTGCAGACAATGGTATAAAAATGCTTACATTTTCACGGAATTGTAATGCAAAGGATAGACTGCCAAACCCACTGAAAAACGATTTACCCACGCAGAGTTCACACATGCCTTGCAGGTAAGATATCTAGAAAATGGAGCCAAAATATGTAAAGACAATAAGGTCACGCAAGACTTTTCGAGATCTACGAAGTAGACTCGAAACTGAATTAATGTGGAGACCTTTTGCTTTTTTCAGTCTTACCTCGTGACTGGTGAATGGTTTGAGCTTTTGTTGCTGGTGTGATGGGGGCGGGTAGTTCTAAACTATTACCGCGAACGCGAATTGTTTTGAATTACGCGTTAATTGTTTCATTAGCTGCTCCCATATAACTTGTTTGCTACTGATGGTAGAAACTTTATCAACACATTTAGCTAAAATATTTTGTTTTATATAATCATAGACATGGGGAATGATTACTTAAAGATTCAATTATAAATACAGAAAGGGATTCTTTTTGACACTTGAATATACCCGATCAATGATATGTGCCATGCGTGATACACGCTTAGGCGATCATGTATCTTTCAATACATGACTGACGAGGCAGGTTTTTGCCCGCAGTAGGTTACCATTTCTTTCTGCAGTAAATCAGGTGCCATCCATGAATATACAGCCTGGTCTGTCCTGCTATTTACTCTTAGCTGGGGAGAGAAGAAGAGAATCCATAACTTTCCCAAGGGTATCAAAACGTAAGTGAATGTAATGGATTCGATTCAGCTCTCCGATTTCTCAATCCAAGCCTAGATATAGATATTAGTTCGCCAGTTGTTCTCTGTTTATACTCGTCTCTCTAAATTGTATACGATACTACAGCGGATAAATGACTGACGAGGCGCATTTTTTTCCCGCATTAGGTTGCCATTTCTTTCTGCGGTAGACCATTTGCCATCGAAGGCTATAGAACCCGATCTGTCCTGATATTTACCCATAGATGGATGGAGAAGAAGATTCAAAACTTTCCCAAGGATATTAGCACGTAAGTAAATGTAATGGATTCAACTTGATTTCGAACTCGGCTATCTCGGAGCCGATATCCATTACTCTACTGGACGTCCTTGATAGAATCAACTAAAAACCTTATTAATGATTACATATAGATTCAGATATGTTTCATTTTGAGACGAATTTCTTATTCGTTTTTTATAAAGAAACTAAGATTCTGAGGCACTTTGAAGTACCCAATAGGTGGCTAACATCTCTACCAAACGTCTCAGTTGACAATTGTTCTCGTTTTAAGCTCAGAAGGGAATAAAAAGAATCAAAATCGACGTATAAACAAATCTGTTGTTTTGAACCTGTTTACTTGTCTATATTAGAAAAACACTTTCCGTATATATATATATATATATGTGTGTGTGTGTGTGTGTGTGTGTAAAACGTATATTCACGTCTACGCCTGGGAGGGTTTAATAGTAATTAAGCACTAAAGTGCAGCATTTTTACTTCTCAAGAAAATACTATTTTTTTTATTTATGTCAGTGAAGTTAACGTCTTGTATTATGTTATTTACTCAAAAGTTTCATGTTAAATTAATACTGATATTCTTTGGGTAATTTGTATATTGGATTCACTGGATAGAATTTACAGCTGTTATGCGTGCACATTTCTCGGCGTAGTAGTAGCCGTAGTACAGTTCTCCGTGTCCTGAATAGCAATCGGGTTTGCTAAGTATAACTCTTTCCTTTGTTCGCCAGTTGTTCTCTATTTATACTTGTCTCTCTAATTTGCATACGATACTACAGCGGATACATGACTGACGAGGTGGATTTTTTCCGCAGTAGTAATGGATAATTCGTATAATAAAATAAAATGTTCCTAAAAATAGAAATGCTAGTGTATTAAAACTGCGTAGAATTAACTTATTTCATAGAAAGCAATGTATAAGGGCGTTTTTTTTAATCCTCTCACCTCAAGCAAATAGACAATGTCATAAAGGACGCATGGGTTTACCGGGAGTGAAAGGAAACGAGAAAACATTAACGATTAAGAAAATGGTAATAAAGGAACAGCTTTTATGAAAACAGCAGATGGTGATTGACGTTGAATATAAATTTTTTAAACACTGTAGGTGACAAGAAAGCAAGGAATCAGAATGTAGCTTCACACGTAAGGAGAACTGTAGAATAACAATACAATAAACAGCACTTACCGGTGTAAGGGTCCCAGCTAGCGTCCAGCTGGCAGACAAAAATAAAGCAGGTTGTAACTTAATACAAACCCTGCAAACTAACTGATGAATCAAGCTGGTATTTATATAGATATACCTCCACTCAGGTACCAGCAGCCAATCACAGCCCAAGCAATGGATTATCCCACTTTAGCACAATGAGATGCTCCATGTCACCATAAATAGTTCTCTTTCTCAAGGTTGAATTATTATTCACTTAGCTTGCTCCACAACTGGGTGTTTATCTCGACCACGTGATTTTTCTACATGGCGCTACGAGCAGGATATATGACACTCGAACATTGGGAACTCTACTTCATTGAAGCAGGCCTATCCACCGACTCGGCCAAAACTCATGCAACAAGGTTTGCAGACGAGAAGCTGACAATGGAGAGCCTTCAAATGCTGGATCGAGCTATGCTTAAGGAGCTGGGAGTCACATTAATGGGAGGAGCCGTGTGTATCATCAAGCAGGCTAAAGAATCCACCACCCAGACAACCCACATTCAGGCACTAGCAGCCAAGCCTCCCCATCTCAATCTCGAGATGGCACCACAGCAATTCAGGAAGTTCCGAATTGACTGGGATGTCTTTACCAAGATAACAAATATGCCAAGCTCCCAAGCTAATATTCACTTATACAAGTGTACTGATGAAACTGCAAAATGTCATAATAAAAAAAAACTATTATATTAGAAGTAACGTTTTCCTCTATTTAGTTCAATAGTAAAACCGTGAGACATTGTTGGTAAAAGGTAAAAATACTGCACTTTACAGCCGAATTACTGTTACATGATCTTTATTAGGATCTATAGCAGGCATAAATTCATGTAGTCGAAGCATAGAGAAAAGAGCTCTTCAGAAGAAATGCCATGAATATATTTGTAGAAACGACACAGGGAAGCCACGCCACGTCACGTCACGTCGCTGAGAACGTGACTGAAGTCAATATCACATGTCTGGATCGACCGATTTACAGACCCTTCTTTGAATTTTGTCAAGATTCTCAGGATATTCAGCGAGAGCATTTGACCAAATATGGTAGCAATACTCAATAGTATATGTATGTATGTGTGAGAAGGATTCTGACGAGAGAAACAGTGAAACAACTTAGCAGTTGATTCGATAGAATCTCTCTGCTTCATGCCAGTGGAAATCGTGAGGCCAAGAAGGCATAGTATGTTGCCCTCATTTAGTCGAGCATCAGCCATGCTGATGGCAGTCAGCAAAGGTTCCCTATGTTGATTAAATGAAGGCAGTTTTTTTTTTGAAGGCGTTAAATTTAATAAGAAATTTCTTACTCCAGCTAACCACAGATTGGAGGTTATTTTCGAGAGCAGTTGGCAGTTTAATTTATAACAGTACCCCAAGAGAATAATAGTAATTAAAATCTACTTATAGGACTGCCTAGGACTTTTAAATAACTAAAAATAGCGAAAACATCTCCGAGATTCAATCCTTTGTGTACAACAGAAGCCGATATTTGACGCCAATTCACTTCTTATGGCTGGTCACTCGTATTCGAGGGTGCCTGTCTATGGCTGGCCAATCCCTGTTGCAGATGCATGCTCAGTTATATTTGTGTTTGTTCAAAGCCCACAGAGTCCACCTGTGGTTCAGGCAGCAACTATGCTGATCGGGAATTTGTTATAGTTTATGGGAGAGTAAGTGCATTATCTGGTTTGATCAACAATCAAACCAAGACCAGCACGCTCAGCACCTCAGTCTCGATAATTTGTGGCTTCTTGCTAGCACAAGCATCGACGGCTCGCAAAATAGTTTCGTCTGCCCAATTTCTCTCCGAAGACATGGGTTAACCTGTGGTATGGTGTTGAGACTCTCGCCGGACGCTGGGTTACCCAGACAAATGGCATAAATACATAACCTTCCTGACAAATCGAC